TGTTATTATTAGATCAAATAATATCTCAATTTCTTTTTTTTTATCCAAGTGATGCAAAACATTTGATCGCCACTGTAATAAATGTCAAAAAAAAATTTTTTTAACTTCGACTAAAAACTAATATGTATTGACAATTCTCACTAGAAACCTTCCCTAAAATTAGGCCAATAGAAAAATTATCAATCTTGCTGTTTCATACTCCATAGGCACCGAAAACCCGGGAAGTTCAGACGCACAGAATTGAAGTAACAAGATTTTCAATTTTTTTTATTAACTTATTTTTAAGAGAAGTTATTAATCATAATTGAAGATATCAGTTTTTAATAGAAGTCGCAAAAAAAAGGAATAAATAATGAAATAATGAAAAATGAAATAAAAGTGAAATAAAAAAAAAAAAAAACGAAAAAAGAAAGAAAACTAGTAAACGAGAAACAAACGAAGAAAGAAAAGAAAGAAAAAGAAGATAGCGAAGAAGAAAATGAAAAACAAACGAAGAAAGAAAAAAACAAAAAAAGCGAAGAAAGAAAAAGAATAAAGAAAGAAAGAAAGTAAAGAAAGGAAAAAATAAAGAAAAGAAAAAAAAGAAAAGAAGAAAACGAAGAAAAGAAAAGAAAAAGACAAGAGGCAATATAATAAAGATGTAAAGAGAGTGGGTAGTAAGGACAGAGGGTGAGATTATAAAATACTGAAGGTAAAAGGATAATAGCGAAAAGGAATGTTGATGAGAGTCGGGAAAAAAGGTAACACTTATATAAGAATTTTAATGGGCTAAACGCCCCGGTCAATTCACGCGACATGATTGTTTCAATTTTTATTAGTGAATATTACACGTGTTGAGTGCATAGTGAGAATAAGCAAAGTATAAAAGGATAATGACATAATTTCATAATTGATTCCGTTTACAAAATATCAAAAAACCTTTTCTATTCAAGGCACGCAAAGTGCAAAGTATTATTATGCATTTTACAAATGTAATATCAAAGAAAAAAACTAAGTAGCCTTTGGAATTTTTGGAATTCTGATACTGATGCTTAATGTATAGTGATGACGAACATATACAGCATACTGTATCGGAAAATAAAAAGAAACGTGATACTCATCGCGGTGATAATCGTTCACACGTCAATGGAAAAAAAAATAAATGTCCAGCTCTCATTGCAGTTATTGTGAATATTTTTCTCTTTCTGAACCGTATATAGATCTGGTCTCCTTGCTTGTGTTTCTTAAATCTTCCTAATAAAGGTAAATGTTTAAATTATTATTCATACAGCGTTTGTAAGTGAATTTTCGATTCGGATTTTTCTAAGTACGTAATGTGATTTAAGTTATTCATTATTTGATTTGACATCCATGACCTCTATTAAATTAAATTTGAAGTCACACCACCTTGGCGTAAAATATGGTTCTTATTTTTTCTTACACGGGCTAACTAAAAGAGAATACGGCAAAATCCTTATACTGTATTTTCCACATGATTTGAAGGTTGTTTTGAAGTGCCTCGTGGATTACCTTCTTTTTTTTTCGCCAACTTCTCTGATGAGGATGTCTCTCACTCATAAAAAGCGTACCCTTGTAATATGTTACTTGAATTTTCTAAAGCGACAAATTGTACAACCATTTCAGAAAACCCTAGCCATGAATACGCATAGTGGAACGGGCCATCAAGGTAAATGTATTTAACTTTTCTTCTTTCTGTTTCGTCAAGCATTTCAAATCTTGTAAGCCTTTTCATTAATAATTAAAGACGACGAAGACGACGACGTCATTATCATCGGAGAAACATCATCCAGCGGAAAAAATCCTTGGACTGATGATATCAATGCTTGGGAGCCAGAAAGATATGAGGTTGAGAATGTATTGTCTAGGAGATGGGAAGACGTAAGTTTAACATTTAGAATCCCATCGACGAAGAAATAATAATTATAAAAAATATTTTAGGGTCAGGAGCTGTTTTTGATACAGTGGAAGGGATATTCAAAAGACACGTAAGTTGCTAGTAGTCACCTTGAATTTCAAACTGTCGATTTACATAGACTTTCTATCTTAAAACCATATACTATGTTAGTTGGGAACCCCGAGAGAACCTCGACAACTGTCCCGAACTCCTAGAAAGATTTTTCCAAATGGCTCAAGAAACAGAACTCATTACTCAAATGAACGTTAACGTTTACAAAAATTATGAAAACATCTGGAGTACCGGTCCAGAGGAAAGAAGGATATTTTATGAAAGTTACGAGATGGGTCAAATGTTCAACGAGGACATGTATGATAAATTGATACTCAAAAAGTATAACGACAGGGAAAGGAGGATCGAGTATAGTGGAAAAGATAGCATTGCTGAGGATTATAAAGTTGAAGATGTGCCGTTGAAATTGGATAGAGATAAGAGGAGATGAAATGTAGTATAGATATATTGCACATACGTACAGTTGATAGTAAGAACAGGTGAATACGTACATACTGTATATGATTCGCGTTTTCGTCAATGAAAATCAATTTTATTTGCTGAGCAGTTTTTTTAATTACTGTACTACCATTTATCAAGAAAACTTTAGCACAAAAAAAAACACACATCCGTATTATGAAATAAAAGTCCTTTCCTTCTCTTTTAACAGTGTTGCATGCCAACAATCTAAGAATATTCAAATAAAAATTGATGATTCCTAAATTTTGTGATCTAAACATAAAATGATTTTCACGAATACGTATGCGTTGCATATTACAAGAAACACTAATGCGTATTGATAAAAGAGGAAAAAAAAATAAAACAGATAAAAATAAATAAAGATACCTGGTCATTCATAAAATTATCAAATAGTAGTTTTCTTAAGTAAATTGTTGCAATAAACATATTGCTCATATTATATTGACAAGTAGTAACAAAAAAAAAAAAAATAGATCATTTGAAAATTCTTACAAAAAAATGCTATTAAAAATATATTTTTAAAATTTTACATACTATATGACCTAATATATTTTATGAAATTTTTAGAGTAATTTTTGTCTAAAAAATCTATACTCTTGCAAAAAATAAAAAAATAAATAAATAACTAAATATTCATTGTAAAAGAAAGACTATATTTTAAAAGATATTTTGAATAGCAATTTAATTGTTAATTGATTAAGATTCATATATTTAAAAAAAGATTTTTAAAAAAAAATTTAAAAACCATAATTTTTATTCCAATTTAAAATTTATTTATCTAAAAAAAATATAAAAATTAAAATAAAAATAATTTAACTTTATAAAATAATTTCAATTAAATTTTTTATATTTATCAAATATTATTTTAAAAAAAAATTTTTTAATTTTATATATAAAATTGTATATAAGTTGCAAGTTACATATTATTTTATAAATAAATTATACAGTATATAAATATTAATATTTTATATGAAATTTTTTACTTTTTAATTGAAAAATTTTAATAAAAAAATAAATATTATTTTTATTGTATTTTTTTAATTTGTATTTTTTTTATAAATAGTATTATTAAATATTTTTTTTTTTTTTTTTTTTGAACACACAACGTCGCCCATTTTATTGATTATATGCATTACATATACTCTTATT